ACACAAAGGCAGATACACATCATGAGTGTGTGTGTGCAGGTGCAGAAGGGTGTTGCCTACGACAAGGCAGGCCGTCCATTCATCCCTGTGTTCGACGCGTCAACACAGCTGTCGTACATGATGTGTCCCCACTGCGACGCCACCAACCTGTTCAGATCGCGAGAAGCACTCGACAGACACATCAGGCAGACACAATGCAAACCACACGATGCCAAGAAGGACAGCAAACACTCACACCAACGTCAGTCGGCTGAGCACACACACACCGGTGTCTCGCTCTTTACCATGCCATGTATGTGTGTGTGTCTTTGTTGCCATGCAGTTGCGAAGGAGAGCCAGGCCAAGTCAGCGGCAGAGCCCATCCAGCCGCCCCACCCACCAACCAACGCCAACTCGCCGCCCCCACACCAGCAGCAGGCTGATGACGATGACGAGGCCACACAGAAGGGCGGCTCCTCACCTCCGGAGCTCGTCCTTGGCCTCAACGACATCCCGCCGCCTGACCCACACAATGACAACAACAGCAACCGTCGCGGCGCACATGACGCAGACACTGACAGAGACGCACTGGCCAACAAGGACAACAAGGCCAGCGAGACACAGCCTATCCTACCACCGCTACAGCCACACACCGACCAACACCCAATGCCCAGCACAGAGGCCCACGAGCCCGAGCCTGACAAGCCACAGCCACAGCCACAGCCACAGCGAGAGGGGCTGGACGAGGATGTGTTGATGTCGATGTGTCGGGGCGATCTGGTGTTGATGCTCAAGGTGAGGAAGCCACAGCTCTACCACGCGCTCAGCTGCTGGGGGGCGATGGACGCGCTGGACAAGACAGACATTGTTCAGCGACTCACCCACACGGACAGCAACAGCAACAGCGATGGTGACAAACGGCCCACCAAGCCACCGACACAACCCACACAGCCGGTACGTAAGCAGCTGCAGAGACACTGACTGACACGAGCGAAGGGAGGAGGGGGCCTCATTTGTCTGTGTGTGTCCAGGTCGAGCCACAAGCTCCACAGCCACAGCTAAACCAGCAGCCGACGCAGTGTGTGTTGAGTCAGAGCCAGCCCCACAGCCAGCTGCCCCCGTCGCAGCCCACCCAACAACCACTGCAAAACAACCCGCAGCCCGTCCCCCTCCCTCCTCCTCTCGCCCTCCCTCTCTCAGTCCAACAGCCGCCCGACGTGCCGCTCTTCGCAGCACCAAGCCACCACAACCAGCAAGGGCAGCACAAGAAGCGCGGTCGACCGAAGGGCAAGGCCAAGGGCAAAGCGCACGGAAAGACACAGATCAACAAGAACACCAAGACACGCAACAAAGGAGGTACGTACACACGCACAAAAAAGTCCATCAGACCAGCCCACACTGCTCTTGTGCGTGTCATGTGATCAATCAGGTGCAGCCAAGAAGAGAGCACCACCGCCACCAGCACCAGCAGCGGCACTCGTGGCTGTCAAGACAGAGCCGACCGATGACGAGCCGCCACGCCCCACACGAGACAACGACGACGTGCCGTCGCTGTTCCGTCGTCGGCTGAGTGCCACATTGCTGGACAG